CCAGCGGCTGACTACAGGAAGCCCGAGGCAGAGTTTCTCTGCCCCGGGCTTCCTGGAATCAGCCGCTGATCAGTTTCAGCAGCAGCTGACTTGGGGACACCTGGGGTAGAGCAGCTGGGGTGCTGCCGGGTTGGTCCCCATAGCACCTAGGTGCGGCACTGCGAGGACCTATCTGGCAGTGCCCCAGCTGCTCTGTCCCAGGCGTCCAGATTCAGCTGCTGTTGAAACTGATCAGCGGCTGATTCCAGGAAGCCCGGGGCAGAGAAACTCTGCCTCGGGCTTCCTGTAGTCAGCCGCTGGTCAGTTTCAGCAGCGGCTGAATCTGGACGCCAGTTCCGACTTAAGTACAAATTCAACTTAAGTACAAACCTACAGTCCCTATCTTGTACGTAACCCGGGGACTGCCTGTAGTTAGAAGACCATCTAAAGCTTTAGGATGAGGCCACTGATTGGCAGTGCCACTCTTTTAGCACAAATTATCTCTATACCCTTAGGCTATGTCTATACTGCAGGCTTTTTGCACAAGAACAAATGTTCTTGCGCAAAAATTTACGGAGCGTCTACACTGCACGCCTGTTCTTGTGCAAGTAAAATTTACAGTAAAGCATCAGAACAGAGTTATGCCTCTCCCCACGAGGAATAAGCCCTCTTGCACAAGAGTTCTTGCGCAAGAAGGCAGTGTGGATGGGCAACAGGAGTTTCTTGTGTAAGAAACCCCTATGGCTATAATGACCATCAGAGATTTCTTGCGCAAGAGAGTGTTACACTGCCATGGACACTCTTGCTCAAAAGCACATGGCAGTGTGGACGCTGTCTTGTGCAAGACCTTTTGGCCAAAAACTCTTGCGCAAAACAATTCTTGTGCAAGAAGCCAGTAGTGTAGACGTAGCCAGAGGGTGTGTCTACACTGCACCCTTACCTCAAAATAAGCTACGCAATATGGACTACATGGAACGAGGTTTGCAGGGACATCGGAATAGCAACCATTTTATATTTCGGAATAATGGGCATGCTCCAAAGATGCAGAATAGCTATTTCAGGATACTACTCAGAAATAGTGCCACAGTGTAGACGTAGCCTATGGGTAAAGCTCAACTTTCCAAGGCCAGGCACGACCATTTTGACTGTCTAGTCAGAACTCTACTACAGCACAGGCCGTACAACTTCTCCCAAAATAATTCCCAGAGTGTATCATTTAAAACAGTGTAGCTACGTCTGGCATGTTTTTCCAGAAATGCTTTTCGGAAAAGCACGTCTAGATTGGCAGGATGCTTTTCTGCAAAAGCACTTTTTGCGGAAAAGCGTCCGTGGCCAATCTAGACGCGGTTTTCCGCAAAAAAGCCCTGATCGCCATTTTCGCGATCGGGGCTTTTTTTGCGGAAAACACTACTGTGCTGTCTACACTGGCCCTCTTGCGCAAAAGTCTTTCGGAAAAAGACTTTTGCCCGAACGGGAGCAGCATAGTATTTCCGGTAAAGCACTGATGATTTTACAGGAGATCGTCAGTGCTTTTCCGGAAATTCAAGCGGCCAGTGTAGACAGCTGGCAAGTTTATCCAGTCTAGACACAGCCATATTGTTTGCTTGCACCCAGTTTACCACATGCTCCGTGTCACTCTGAACCAGTGACCTGTCTTCTTTATTTACCTCTCTCCGTGTTTTTTGTGACAAACTTTATCAGTGATGACTTTATATTCCTGTACCATGCCCATCTCCCAACGTGGACATGAGCCTCCTACTATGATGTAGCAATTAATGCGAGTGGCACCTATTGAGCATGTTTTCAAACATACCTATGTCCCAGGAGGAAATTGTACATGGAATTTTTTTGGTGAAGAAAGAAATAGTTTGGTTTGTCTTGCCTATTTTGATGGCATTGCTTTTTTGGGCAGAGGCTGTCTTTCACTGTGTGTGTACAGCTCCTAGCACAATGTGGCGGGGGCAGTCTTGGTCAGGGCCGATAGATGATATTGCAATACTAATAGTAGGAGTGAAAAATGATTTTGTCTAAACTATGCCAGCTGCTGTGAGCCAAGAAGCAGATGGTAGAGGGGAGGAACGCTAAGCCTAGGTGACTCGTGGTAGCACTTGGGTGAGGTGCACCACTCCCTGTGCCCCCACTAAAATTTTAATTGCTAAATGGGGTGCCCCCACATGCTCCCTCCCTGCACCCCCTCTCCCTGCAAGCACCAGTCACCCCTGCCTGGAATAGTGCACCCTGCAGAAAGAAGTATAAACTGTGCCTCCCTCTACCAATTTGACCCACTGTAAATGACACCCACCTGCCCCACAGAGGGGATTTCTCTTTCCACTGTTGCCCTCTCCCAGGGGGCTGGGACATGCAGTTTCATTTACAGCTGGGCTTTTGTGGAAGTCTGTCTCCAAGTGGCCGTCCCTGGGGATATGCCCAGTCAGCTCCAGCCTTGTCCCCTAGGTCCCACCTGGCGTTTCATCCCTGCTGCTCCTGTGACACAAGGGAAGCTGTAATCACTGGGCATTGCCATAACTCTCCATTCCCTGCAGAGAAGCCATCTCAGGAGCCCACCATGTTAAATGAAGGCTACATTCCATCCTTAAAGATTAAACTAAGATTTCCTCCAGCTGGGTTCCGAGCGCCTCAGAGAAAGCAGTGGGCGGATCCACGAATTGTTCTATTGAGATGCCATAATAATAGCCACTTAGAACCTCTCATCCTTCATCCCCAAATTACCCAGCAATTCAGTGACTCCTCTCCCTTGCCTTTCACGATAGCCATTAGTGGGCAAAGCCCTTTATATTTCCTGTGAATTAATTTGCTTAAGCCAGAGAGTAAAATGAACCATTTTCTGCTAGTCTCTCCCCTGGGACCTGCCTCACCATCTGCTGATGGCAGCGTGCTAGCCCCTCTTCTCCTATCAACCAATAGTCATTCATCTTGATCAGCAGCTACTAACTCTGCTGAGCAGAGAGTGTAATGAGAACCCAGCTAGCTAATTACGCATGTGTGGGGTGATTTATTAGCAAGGGGGCGGGGGCAGCTGGAGAGGAGGGAAACCTTTGCAAATACCCATTTGTTATATTGCTAGCGTGGTTTGCAAATGGGAGAGAACGTGTTTTGCTCTCACCAGAGCAACTGGCAAGCCACATAAGCGTGACTGATCTGTAGGGGAGCGTGCTGTATGCTCCTCATGTGAAAAACTGACAAGCAGGCAAATGTGGCAAAATCCCAACTCAGAGGGGATCTTTCAGCCCCTATGAATAAAGCATTTTAACCACCAAATCCCCCCGTTATGATTTTTAAAAAAATGTGACAGAGTTGCATGACTGAGGGTACGTCTACACTACAGCATTATTTTGAAATATCTAATTTTGAAAGCGTTATTTCAAAATATCTTATTCCAAAATAACGCGTCTACACACAAAATGCATTTCGAAATAGCTTTTTTGGTACAGATTTCCAGGCCCTTGCGTGCAACCTGCATTTGGTGACTTTCAGTGGCATTGACCTTTTAGTCGGTATCATAGAAGGATTCTCACCAAGTCGCCTTTTTTTCTTTCCCCGAGGCAGCATCATTCTCTAGCTGTTTCTATAGGGAAGAGGGCCTTGGGGATGGGAAAAGGAAGAGATGCATCCTACTCCGAGGAAGGGAAAGATAGGAGAAGTTGGCAGACCTGCTTAGGTCTGATCCAAAGTCCATGGAAGTCATCATCACTAGGAGCTCCCCCCAGTGGAGGGAAAATGGTGTAGACATACCCGGAATCTTTGAGCTCCATTGGGGTATACACTTGAGCATCTACGCAGAGAACAAGTAAGTTCTGCAAATGACTAGCAAATAGAAACAGGGACAGGTACTTGTGATTTAATAGACAAACGCACACACCTCACCACACTACACTGGCCATGGAATGTTCTCGGGGCAAGGGCCTTACAAGCCCAGGTGTGTGCTTAGATCCAACACAGCGAAGGTACCAAAATCCACCTGAAAACACACAAGGCCTGATCCCGAGCGACTATAAATCAATGCAGCTCTGCTGTTGTCCTACTGAAGGCATTGGCACTCAGGCAGCTGTTTGCCATGATGTCTTTGTCAGTGAATTGACAGATGGGAAGAGCAGGGCAGCTGACAGAATATTTTCAAGGCTATTTGGTTTGAATGTATTTCTCCCGGAGAAAGAATTGTGTCTTCATTTTCTACATGTAATCTGGATCCAAGTATCACCTCCTCTGGCCATTTCTTCTGATGATGGGTGGCAAGGGGTACTGAGAACTGAAGCAAAGGCCCCCCTGCTTTTGAAATATTTACCATCTGAGCTCTGGTTTTATCCCTTTTGGTACAGAAGCTAAGGCTTTTTGTGTCCCAGAAACTGCTAAACATGTTTCCCCTTGTGCACATAAAATATTAATCTTTGCATGTGCACATGCAGAAGAATTATTTACACTAGGCTAAAATATGGAATTCACTTTTTGTGCGCATGCACAGATGAGCATTTTCAGATATTTGCTGTCTCTGCCTCTATTTGTTAGTCATTTGCAGAACTTACTTGTTCTCTGCGTAGATGCTCAAGTGTATACCCCAATGGAGCTCAAAGATTCCGGGTATGTCTACACCATTTTCCCTCCACTGGGGGGAGCTCCTAGTGATGATGACTTCCATGGACTTTGGATCAGACCTAAGCAGGTCTGCCAACTTCTCCTATCTTTCCCTTCCTCGGAGTAGGATGCATCTCTTCCTTTTCCCATCCCCAAGGCCCTCTTCCCTATAGAAACAGCTAGAGAATGATGCTGCCTCGGGGAAAGAAAAAAAGGCGACTTGGTGAGAATCCTTCTATGATACCGACTAAAAGGTCAATGCCACTGAAAGTCACCAAATGCAGGTTGCACGCAAGGGCCTGGAAATCTGTACCACCAAACAGCAGATGCTCTCTGGTGCCAATTGTGAGCTATTGCTATAGAAGGAACAATCCAGGAAGGTTCACACAGGCCAACAGCTTTCAGACATAGTGGCTATGTCTAGACTGGCATGATTTTCCGGAAATGCTTTTAACGGAAAAGTTTTCCGTGAAAAGTATTTTGAGAACAGAGCATCTAGATTGGCACGGACACTTTTCCGCAAAAGCACTTTTTGTGAAAAAGCGTCCGTGGCCAATCTAGACGGGGTTTTCCGCAAAAAAGCCCCGATCGCTTTTTTACGATCCGGGCTTTTTTGCGGAAAACAGTACTATGCTGTCTACACTGGCCCTTTTGCGCAAAAGTTTTGCGCAAAAGAGACATTTGCCCAAACAGGAGCAGCATAATATTTCCGCAAAAAGCGCTGATTTCTTACAGTAGGAAGTCGGTGCTTTTGCAGAAATTCAGGCGGCCAGTGTAAACAGCTGGCAAGTTTTTCTGGAAAAGTGGCTGATTTTCCAGAAAAACTGGCCAGTCTAGGCACAGCCAGTATGTTTGAACCACACAGCTGTGTTTTCAGTGAGTTCTAAAGGCCGTAATCAGTCTTGACGGGCTGCTGTGTGTGTCTGGGTTTGGTGCATGAAAATTAAGAACCAGACAACTCAAGGAAATGAAGTTATTTATTTATAGGCAGTGATGCAAATATGCCATGTGGCTATTAGAGTTTCAACAAATTTGCTTTTTTTATGGTCTTGCCTGTGACATGCCCCAGATATCATTCCAGTTACAGTATCTTAGTTTTGGCCTTCGTCCCAGGCCAAAAAAGATGATGAAAGGTCAATTGTCTTCAGTTCTGTGAGCTTTCCAACGTCACTTTAGCAAGATCTCATCTGCAATCCCTAGTACCCTGATTTTTACAGTACTCTGTGCCTCTGAATGAGCTCATCTGATAAGGTGGGTTTTGCCCACCAAAGCTCATGATACTATATATTTTTGTTAGTCTCTCAGGTACCACAGGGCTGCTTGTTGTTTGTGTAGAGAAGTTACTCTATTCCTTACCACTGTGGCCAAAGAAGAATTAAAATCTCTGGGTGTCTTAAATAAACACAGTCTGTCCTGAAGTATGCTCTGTGTGAACATTTACAGAAAGCGAATTTTAGGCCAACAGGCAGGTTTTGTTTAATGCCAATTTTGTGACAAAACAAAATCCACTTGAGACAAAACCAGAAGTAACTGAGAACCATAAGGGTGCCAGATTTCAATCATCTTTCCTTTTTTGGCCACTTTGTAGCAAAAAATCATACCCCAAAACAAAAATGGACACCTTTGGCTAAAACAAGGGTTATTATCCCTAGCTGGTTGAAAAAAACAATAAGACATTTTCCACTGAAAAATTGCCATTTTTGGAAAATTATGTTTTCATTAAAATGTGTTGACATTGTGATGTTTTTCATGAGCAATGCATTTTAAAAAATAAAATCATGAAAAGTTCTCTAAAAATGGCCAATTTCAAATGAGAACACCTTTGAACTTTTTAATTATTTCATACAATTAGCACTTCAGTTTTTCACCATTCTCTAGTTTTAGCAATGGATGCGTAGTGCAGCAGTTATGGTATGTTGTGTGATAAATTCTTCAGGGCAGAAGAAAGGCTTCCTTGGGGGCTCCTGATTAAGACTTCTGACTATTACTGCCATATGAATATTAAATAATACAGTAGGATGGTTAATGGAGGCTATAATTGATTTATAGTGGGAATAACATGAGAAATGAGTTTTCAGGTATGAATGAAGTATAGCAAAGGTAGAGGGAATCAAGCATCCCTGGTGGTTCTTTTATCTTTACAAAGGAATTTTCCAAGTAGTCTTTGGAAATAGCTCTCACTGTTTTCAGTGAAGGAAGCTGATGTGTCTCTGTGGACACTTCATTATGCTTTCAGCAGAAAGCCCAGCTTGGTAGCAGGACTTGACCACTGTAAGATACATACACTGTTTTCCCATTAGCACTGCATCAAAGCACCTCACAATCTGTAGTATTTTTATTCTCATAACCTCCCTGTGAGGTGGGGCAGCACTGTTGTTCCCATTACTTTGTTGGGGAACTGAGGCACAGAGCAACTACGTGACTCACCCAAAGTCACACAGAAAGTCTGTAGCATGCCTCGGATTAGAGCCCTGGTCTCCTACATCTCGGTCCAGTACCCTACCCACCCTTCGTAGTCTATGGTATCAGTTTCCCTTTATCTCTCTCCTCGCAGAGGGGCTAAAACACCTTTATAGATCTTCCCAGCCCCTTTCTAAGGTGTTAAGTTCTTTCTGTGTGTGTGGTTAAACTGGCTGGACCTGTGTGAAGGGGATTAGAGGCAAGGGATGAGCTCTGAGGAAACTCTCTCATAAGGTGGCCATGTGAGGCTCTCAGGGGAGCAAGATGTCACCCTACACACACACTCCAATCAGGCTGGAGAGTAGCAAGAGACAGGAGGACCTCTGCATGGGATCTCGGGAGCAGCAGGATAGGAAACCAACAAACTTTGTTGATGGGCCAAAATGGGGCCTATGCTTGTCTTTTAAGCCAATTTGTAACTTGATTTGGATCAA